CATTCCAATGACATCCAGATTTCATTCCAAGAGCAATTAAATTCTCAGCAAAGCAGCTAAAACCCATCTGTCTCTTCAATCCAGATTTCAATTATTATTCCGTAATCCTATATCCTTATAATTACATTGATGTTCACTCTGTATATACCCAAAATACTGCCTTGCTTTATTTCAGTAAAAATTAACATAGCACAAACATTCATATTGTTATAGAGCCAACAGTAGAAAGGGCTCAGAGAACTCTCTCTCTTGTCTTCTACAACAGAGTCTTGATAGAGAATACTCTTTGCCCAAATGAAACCACTTTAAAAAAAAAACTACCCCACAGAGCTTGTTCTCTAGAGAGTATTAAAGAAAGTAGTCAAAGCTTGTGAAGTATTTTCAGTTTGAATTTGTCTGAATTTTTACTTCTGTCAGACTATTATGCACTAGAATAACATAGCGTCTTTAAAAAAAGCACATACCTCGGAATAACAACTGTATTATCTATCCAATATATTCTTAATGTAAATAAGAACTCTGACTTTCACAAAATATCCAAAGCTTCACTCTGAACAAACACATATTAAAGCTTACGTTTCTCATGTGTCTACTTAATACAATGGAGAGGAGAGAACGAAACAGCTCAAACCTTGCTACAGAAAGAGAGTGCTTCAGTACTGTTAAGCAAAGGGGCAACGAGACTCCAGTTACGATGCATGTTTTAGGCTACGTTGCTTATACTGAACAGCATTCCAGGCAAAAAGTAGTGAAAATGAAAGCGTAGCAAGTATATACTAGACTGTAGCCCAAGTTCTCACTCCAAGAAATAGGAAAAAAAATCATGTTTCCTGCACTCTGAAGTGAAATTACTTCAGTCCTAAGCAGCTATTTCAAAGATCATTGTGGAAATCAGACATTCAGTCCTTCAGATGCGCAACTACTGAGGGAATGCTAAACCCTTTCAGGTCATAAATGACTAGGCACGAGCAAGCAAAAAATTGATACAATCTCCCCCTCCAATGAAACAGAATTCATCTATAAAAACTAAGAACTCCTAAAAAAAAAAAAAAAAATCTTGCTTTCAGTTTGGCTCTGTAAAGTGTATAGGTTTTTTGTTTTGGTTTGGTTTTTTTTTTGTTTAATTAAGACAATTACATTACAATCATGAGCACAATTCAAACCTAGAGACACAGCAAACGTGTAGATCCGTGTTAAAATTGTTGCTTGTTTTTTTTGTGCGGGGTTTTTTTTCCCTTTCTTTTTGTAATCTAACTCTTATTTTGTTTGCAAGGCTTTTTTGTTTTTTAAATAACTAATCGAAGATTCATTTATAGCTACTCAGTGGCAGTGAAATGAAAAGATATTTTAATTACAACCCTTAACTTGGTCCCTGACCTAAAGCTAGCTAGCAACAGAACTGATGAAAGCCTGTATTAAAAAAAGAAAAAAAGCCACACAAAACCACAAACAAAACCCAGTAAAAAGCAAACCAGAACACCCCCCCCTCCCAAACACAGCACAAGTTGTATCTCCTTGTTGAGCAGCTTTCTGCCATGAAACAGTAAAGCAGCTAGGTGTTAAACTAGGTAGCTGAAAACACATCAGAAAACAGTACAGCTAAATATTAAATGAGAATACATATATAGCTAATTTACAAGGCCATCACAACTGCTCTGCTAACTATCAGTTTTCTCACACATAACTGAGCAGAAATAGCATCAGTGATTTGGTGTTTAGCAGCAAAGACCAATTGTTGAAAGCAGTATAAGGAATACCAGTGAAATGCACGCTTAAAAACTTGAAGGGAGTTCAATTCTTAGAAAGTTAACCAATTGATTTGTTGCCTTCAAAACGGGAAATAAACCAGAAGTAGGGATACTGGAATAAATTATTTTCTGTTACAGAATTATAGAATAAAAATATTTTCATCCTGACAAGGACTCAAAAAAAAAAAAACATGTCCTACTCAGCTGTAAGTCCCCATGGCATCACCTCATGACAGGTTCTTTAGATTGGCGTGACTTTTAAACCTTCAATGCTGGATTGTACATTTTCTCATAGCTGTTGGCTGCTAGTGAAGAACAGAAGGGTTGTCCTAAAAGAGGCCAAATTTATTTTATTTTTTTCCCCTATGTCCTTAAAACCACACTCTACTGACACTAGCAAAGATATCTGCTATTCTTCTGCCAAAAAAAGGAACAAAAATACTTAGTAGCCAGCATGCTCCTTCCATTGTCTTCCTGTTCTGGTTGCCATTCCAGAAGCCTAGTTAAAATCGCCTCTGCAAAAGTTGCCTTTTCAAAGATGGTCAAAACACTTGGTAATCTTAGATAAGTAGTAAGAGCTGCACTGCCATCTACAGAAAAGTTTAGGAAAAGTATTTAATATTTGTTGATGCCAAGGATAATACAGTTAAAAAAGACTAACAATACAACAGCAGGATGGAAATAAAAAAAAGCTGCATTTTGCACTAAACACTACCAATTACTCACCATCTAATTTCCTGACTTCTTATTCAGCTACATTGCTTCTACTCACCCCAGCCTGATGCCACAGAAACTCCAGAACCAACTATCTTCTCTGGAGATTTCCCTAGAAATATTAATTCCAAGGAGGCAGTCCGTCTGGCATTAAGTCAAGCACTCAAAATTCTTAAATCTGACTCGTATCAACTGGACTTTGACACACAGATATTAACCGCTTTTACCCTCACCACACTAGAGGATAGAAACCACATAATTTGATCACATATCTCCCAGCAATCAAAACATTTGCTGTAACGACTAATCACAATAATTATTCTCAACACCTTCGGGTTTTTTAACAACTTTTTTTTTAATCTGTCTTTATACTCATTGCCTGCAGACAAAATGAAAAACATGGAACAAAAGCTTATATTAACCTACTCAAGAACATAATTCTTCAGAAATAATGAAAAACTGTATCAAAAATTGTTCTGCATCTTCAGATTCAAAACAATCAGTGTTTAATCTTTAAGCTACAGAAATCAAATATACCATGTTTTCTACCAAAAACAAGCAGCACAGGGTAAAAAAAAAAAAACCAAAAAACCACCACTAGAAGGCAATGCCACAAACATTTCAGATCTACAATTTCCCCTCAAAACCCAAGCTGACTGAAAATATATCTCAACCTTGTAAAAATAAAAGATGTATTATTGATATTTCTCTCGTTTAAGATAAAAATTCACAGTACAGTAAGCTCTGTAATTCCAGAACAGCACTAACAGGATAAAAATCAAAATGGGTGGAAAACACACATGACTTTCTGGATTCAACAGAAAGTCTTACTCACAACCTCCTCCTTTCTCCACTTCCTCAGACCCTAGTAATTTCATTCTTCCATTTTTAAGTCCTCTTTAAAAGCTGTTTGCTTTCAATAAGGGAAGAAATAAACCAAAGTAATGAACAAACATATCAAAACCTTCTAATGTATCTCTGCTCCACAAGGCTTATTACAACAGCTTCTGTCAGTCAGACTATCAATTCATACACAAATTAATGCATAGAGGTCACATGTATCAAAAACCTAAGACACATAGCCCAAAAGCATGGGAAAATAGTGTCTTTCATTTGTTTGATAAACTACACTATATGTATCAAAAATATATATATTTAAAATTTATGAAGGACAACGTTCAGAAACTTCCTTTTTTCCTGGCATGTGCATGAGTGTACCTGGGAAAAAGGTGTTTGCTTTTGTAGTGGCCTACATTAAACTTTTTTGTCCCCTATAAACATTAATAAAGCTACAAAGCTCATACTGGAGAAGTCTCAAACTGCTTTTCCAAGCTGGCCACAATTACCATCAAAAGTTAATAACCATTTCTAAATTCCTGTAAGCACTACATCCAAACATAATAATTTAAGACAGAAAGCAAACAATACCACAAGCACCTGGAAATACATCAGGAATTTGTATGTAGTTACACATAAAATATATAATTACATAGCTATGCCAAATTTTCAGGAGAAACCTCTGCTGTTCTGCTGTTGGGCTAGAGCAGACAACCCTAATAAAGTTACAAATTGGGAGTCTGAGTAGGTGCCACAAACCTTGTCCAAGTCCAAAACTAGTATCTACATTACTAAATTGACAGTGGTGTCACAGTATCTAACACGCCTGAAACACATGAAGTTATACCAAATAGTACACATTGGTTATACCAAATTCTTTTTGTTAGAAGTTCTGATTGTTAGTAACAGGTTAATAAAATTCAAGTTGCTTAATTCAAAAGACTGTTTGGATAAATTAATATGGAGAGTGAAAAGGGATGAAGGACAGACAGACAATATTTTCCTCAAGCCCACCGAAATCCCAAGGTTGGCTCCCTGACCTCAGCTGGAGGGTCACAGCACTGCAACAACTCTCCATCCATTCTTCAGACTGAATTATGTTTCCTGCAGATCAGTTATAAGTTTAGCAATAAAAAAGGTTGTTATGCATCTTGTGTATCGCATTTGAGACATACAAAGAGTGCTGCTACAGTGAGCTACAGTCAGGTACCTACCTTAAAGGTTCTATGCTTGAACAAACTGAGAAATCAAAACAAACGCTGGTTCAAAAGGGTCCTATACATATACAGTATAGAAACAAGACAATGGAAGAAGTCAGATAGGTGATAGCCATTTTCTTGCTTTTTCACTCCTCAGTTTAGAGATTGGTAGGAGATACTTAACCTATCATTTGCAGAAATTAATTCCTTTATTCTTTGTGAGCATTGCCATGAGATTGAGTAAGGAAGGACCTGTTCTGTCCTAACTTAGGAATAAGGAAAAATAGTATGTAAACAGCCTAATCAAGGTCATCTGTCCAGAAAAAGGAGTTCCTAAACAAGAAGTTAAAAAAAAAAACCAAAAAACAAAAAAAACTATCAACTACAGAGAAATGAGGAAACTATTATGAAGTAAAACACACATTAATTCTGTTTTTTAAAGATACTTAAGCAATAAACTCAAAACAGTATAATTACGCAAATTATGTATATAAATACTTACTATGCTGTTCATTTCTGAAGATTCATAACTTCCACATGGATGGACACTTCCAATAGGTTCCAACCCTTCTTCATCCCACATATATGTGCCATCAGAGCTGTCAGATGGAGAAAGCTCAAAAGAGGACCCAGCTCTGTAATTCATGTCTGGAGAAATCATGTTCTCAGCAGTATGCTTCGTGCTTTCACTGTTGTCATCTGCTGCTTAAAGAAAACAGGAATAGTCAAGATTCCAAAAACAATCCAATAGGCCAAAAATAAAAATGTGTATTATTGGTGCATTAACTCTTCTGAAATTATACTGTAACAGAAGTATCTGAAAGTATTCTACAGTATTATTCACTCAGCCTAGAGGGGGAAAAAAGCTCAAGCTGGTTTGGCAGCTACAACTAAATATCCTTCCAACCTACATCTTCGCTAGCCATTTACACTGCACTAATTCACTCATCATGAAAAGCTACTTTCTAGAATTCTATATCTTTTTAACATATTAGAAGGTAGGTCCAAACTTAGATCCTTTGGATCCACTCCTTCAACTGTAACTTCTCTCAAAAAAAGCATATACTATGAGAAGCCCAGAGACTTGAAAACATGGCTTTTAAAAACATCTTCTGTATCTTCCACTAATTTTTAAAGAATTAATATAGCATGCCTCTGGAAAAACAAAAAAACAAAGACATTCATATTTTTAATTTAACCAATTTAATTAGACACCCTACATTTATTCCCACTACTTAGGGGTGGTTACAGCTGTTCTCTGCCAACAGTGTGTGTGTGGAGAAATTTTCTTAAAAGATCACCAGTCCAGAGAAATGAATGGCAAAGCAAGGATAAGAGGAATCCCATAACCCTACCACAAGCATGGTCAAAGGAAAATACCTTATTGCAGCCTTCCAGTACTTCAAGGGGGCTTATAAGAAAAATGGGGACAGACTTTTTAGCAGGCCCTGCTGTGATAAGACAAGGGGTAACAGTTTTAAACTAGAAGAGGGTACATTCAGACTAGGTATAAGGAAGAAATTTTTCACCATGAGGGTGGTGAAACCGTGGCACAGGTTGCCCAGGGAGGTGGTAGATGCCCCATCCCTAGAAACATTCCAGGTCAGGTTGGACGGTGCTCTGAGCAACCTGATCTAGTTGAAGATGTCCCTGCTCACTGCAGGGGGGTTGGACTAGGTGACCTTTAAAGGTCCCTTCCAACCCAAACTATTCTATGATTCTTATCCCAAGGAAAGAGAGCTCTTCTAAGTCATGCCGGGGAAAGATAACTATGATGAAAAAAAAGCACTATAAGAAAATAAATGGGCCAGCACAGAGCCAAGTTCCATTCTGCAACAATTCACAAGCAATGGGTAATCGTATGGAACAACTTATTTACAGCTACAGAATCTTGATTTAGCACTAAAATTTCAAACAGATCATAACAAAGTATTTACCAGACACGTTTATATCCAGCCAGTCATCAGCATTACAGCAAGATCCTCCACTTTCCTTAAGAGAATTGAACGGCTCGATGGATGTTATGCTCCTGTGCTCTAACTCTTGAAGGCAGCTCTCCTTTTGCTGTATTTGTATAGTTCTGCTGGGGTCTTCTATATCTATGAAATCATCACTGAAGTCTTCACTCAAATCATTTTTTTCAGATGATGACAACGAAGATATAGATATTTCATCTCCATCATCGCTCATACACATGAGTTTTGCCCCATGTTTTCCCACACTTTCACGGAGGCCCTCATCAGATTCTGTTCTTTGAGCATTGCTCTCTATAACACTGTTTTTCTCAATTGCTCTATTAATATCCATTGAAATTTCAGAGTTCTCCACAATGCATGTGTCAGGACTTGTACTTTTGCTGCCATCCACAATGATATTTCCAGTAAATCGCTGCCTAGTAGGCTTCAGCAGAGAAGGCCGACTTAATCTGTATCCAAAAGAAGGTGCTGACCCAGATCCATTTGACAGCGGGGGCTTCTTTGAAGAAGGAGCTGACATACTGGTGTAGGGCCTGGTAAATCCGTACTTCATAGGTTCATTTCCATTGGGTGCGTCCAACTGACGTGCATTTCTTGACAACAAAGTCGACCTCTGTGATGTCCTGGCAGCTAGATTTTGACTATAAGGCCTTGTAAGATCCACAGCTTTATTAAAGGAATGTGACCTGGTTAAAGATGCAGTGGGAAGGAAAGAATTCTGAATGGAATGTGAAAAACTTTGTGATCTTACCATTTTTTCACAGGAAAAAGTCTTGCTACTGTCTGTAGATTGTGCCAGGCTCTCTCCTGAACTTGTCCTTGTGGCACTGGAATTAGCTCTAGGTCTCTGCAAACCTACCACTGGCCTATTTCCATAAAATCCATTTAAATGTGATTTTGGAGCACTGAGTCCAGAATATGAGGTCCTTCCTGACAGGGTACCTTTGGCGAATTTTGCTGAACTAGAGAGTCCAGGCAAAGACTTTGGGTTTAATTCCTCAGTAGAAGATACAAACATGTTGGTTTGCTTTGCTGCTTTTGATGCAACCGAAGCAGTACTGCTCAAACCCACCCTGAGCACATCATTACCCAATGCCTCTTGAGATTGAGAATACTTGTCAGACTTGATTAATTTTTCATTATAGTTATGTTTAGAGTTAGTCTCTCTCGCATTTTGATCACGAGGTTGATATTTATTTGATTTGTTCCAGTTGAAAGAAAAGGAAGACATGCGAACAGTGCCATTGTGCTTGCCAAAGTTTTTGCCACCACTATTCCCTGCTAAACTAACAGCCGTCCCATTTGGCATAGGTTGCAAGACACTTCCTAAAGTTTTCGTTCCATACTTCGGTAGCCTGGAAACCAAGGATGTCCTGATTTGATTTTTTTCTTCCATGAGCTATTGGGTACATTGGTCCTTATAGGGTGCTTGAATCTAAGGAAAAGAAAGAATATATTAGATCTGAATCAACCACACCTTAATCACCATAATTTTATACACACTTGCATCTATGTTTGCTACATTCCTGTGCCTATCTATACCATGATGATACAAAGTAACTCAGACATATTTTGTGAACTCCAGAGAAATGCCTGTCACCAGCAGTTATTTGTCAGTAATGTTATTCAGGTCACACCACCCTCCCTCAACTTTCATCCTCTAGATAAACTGCTATTTTTTTTGCTTCCTTTTGAAATCTATGAAATAAGCTTAGAAAAGAGTTGGTATTTTTTCCCATTTATCTATTTTGAGCAGCAAACTGATTTTTTCAACTATGTTACAATTATTACGTACTTAAGACTCTATATTTAAAAAAATCCCACAAATGGAACATAGCACAAACCTGTGGTCAGCAATGTAAAACTGCAAAAACCATAACATAAAACCTGATTAAAAGCTAATTTTTTGAAAAAAAAAAAAAATTTTAAGTTTCCCCAACATCTATGTTATGAGATAGAAAATAATCACTCATCAGCCACCTTCACCACAGCTTTTTTTTTCCAGACCTTATCAATATCCCCAATTCAGGATGAAAACTCCCAGCCATTTTCTTCCTCTTTGTATGGAAACTGTAGTCTATTTTGGTCATCATCTTATTCAAGTACAAGACTTGAAGTATAGGGCAACAGTTGCATAAGGTCAGAAAATTCAAAAGTTTTACTTCTGTGCAGTTACATATGAACACATAACCCTAGCTACAAAAGTACGAGATAAAGAGATAATTATAGCATTCATGGATTCCCTTGTACCTTGAATTTCAGTCCCATCCACCTGATTTGCAATACAGGGGACTCCACTACAGTCTTTAATAAAGATTTATTGTTTCTCGACTTATAGTCATGTCATTTTGGTCTATTTTATATCACACATATTTTATAAAGCCGTAACTGCTTTACAGACATATCTTTGCCTCAAAAGTTTTTGCCTTAAGAATTCAGATCTCCTTGCTTTAATATACTACTTTTTGTTTCTTCCACACTCATCCACAGATCCATCCTATTATTTGGACAACTGACTATGTCTGTATCACCCTTCTATACAGCATTTAGTCTGTTGTTTTTCCTGGCTATACAACATGAACAACTTGTCTAAATGCTATTATTAAAAACTTGCAGTTCAGACAATAAGGCCTTGAGAAGTCTTCAAGTTTCAATGTTGCATCTTTAGACAAGGTTTCTCTAGTGTTTAATTCTGTATTGACAAGACCAGGTTTCTGTGTTTTTTGTTGTGGGTTTTTTTTTGTTTTTGTTTTGGTCCCCGTCCCCCATCCCCCCATCCTCCCCGACAGTTGTAAAAGAATATCTTGCTTTTGCTAGCCTGGATTTTATGTTTTCATCAGTTCCACCCACTGGTCTTACAAATGGTGTCAAGACACAGAATTTCAGTCACTCATATGTTGTTCCCTGAAACTATTCTCCATTTTTCTCTTTTGACAGACCTACACACAGCTGGCATGACTGAAAACCACCATGAAATTTTTTTTAAACCATGGCAATCATGATGACAATCACCACACAGCAAGTAACCTTATACTTATTTAAGGTACAGGAAATAGCTTGTGTAACCACAGCAAGCATTACCTTAAAGTGAGTCACTCCCCAAGTTGCAAGACCTCACTAAGAAACACTTAAGATAAAAATCAAAGCGGCATTAAATAAAGGCAAACTGAAGTACCCTTAGGATTCTGTAAATGAATAGGATGCCCCAGAGCTGAACTTCTGGAAGTAGATATACATTAAAAAGATACAGAGAGAAGCATACTCAGAGACATGGCTTTTTTAGGGGCTCCTAACCTAGTGAAAATATCAGAATCCACATCCTACAGCTGGTAGAGCACGTTGCTATTTAGAAACACACAAATCCAGAGTTTTCAAATACTAAGTGAATTCTTGCACACTGGAGACATAACCCTCACCTAGGCACACAAAGAAGCACACAAGTATTTCCCCCCAGCAAGAGCAAAACATTTAAGTCATGATGCATAATGTGCACCTGTATATGGATGTAGGTGTCTAATGTTAAGACTTGTCTCAGAAACACTACAACCAACATCACCTACTAAGAAAAGCATTCACAGTGTCTCATTCATACATCTGTACCCACAAAAAAGAAACTTGCCTACAGTGTACTGTATACCTTGCAAATGAAAAAGTCATTATGCTTTAATATCAAATGTGAATCCCAAAGATATTTTACGTCAAATATATACGGTAAAAGCAATAAAGTACACCTTTTTTAAAAATAACTCCATGCATAAAGAGTGGCTTTTAACATCATGATGCATCAAAAGATATCCCAACTCTAACAAAAAGGCTCAAGTCCTGTGAAGAAATCTTCCAAATTAAAAAAAGTTAAATTAGGAAGCTGCTAATTTAACTTCCATGCTTTATGGATAATTCCCTTTTCACGTCTGTCTACTATCTCTTAGGTGACCGCAAAATTTAAGTGAGGCCATTTAATGAGATTACTTTAATCCTTCACCAAGTGCTGCAAATTAAACTTGAACAGAAGATCTTTTAGTTCTCTAGGAAGGGTACTTGCTCATTTACCCTTAATTAGTGAAAGACAAAGTATTATCTTTAAGAAAACTGTACTGACTGCTTAAAACACTTCAGATAATTAAATTAAAAGACTGCCTACAGGCAATACTTGCCTGTGTTTTGTTAGCTACATAACTGTAACTACTGCGTTAACTTCACAATTTTAGGTCGCATTTGTTTGGTTGAAATACAATGCTGTCAAAAAACCCCAAACTTAACAGTATCGGGTTTGGCAGGTGTTACTCTTACCAGAAAATGGAAAATGTAAGTATTAAGTTCTCTTAAACATCCTCAATCTTGACATATATTAACTCCTTGACATATATTAACCTTACCCTAAAAATTAGATTCCCTTAACAAGAAGCATAGTACCTGCAAGTTGTAGTACAATTTCTGCATCCCAGAAAACTCTCATTGAATACAATTTAAGTCGTATTCTGCTGCATTATAAGAAATCCAAAATATTTTTAGAATTCGGCAATCTATGGATTTTTTTTATAACACACACTTGGGCAAACTAGCCTTAAATACTTTGCCTTGGGAAATACATTAGCTAGTGCACACAAGTCTAATCGGGAATTAAACTAATTATAAAGAGCCTAGTCTTACATAATGATCCAGGGAAAAGGAATTAAAACTTACAAACCCTCTCTGAAGTATAATCTGAATTAACTGAAAAGCTGCTACATTCTTACCTTCAAGGATATTCAAGATCCTGGTGATAAGCAAGAGGATATTCATTCTCACTCTCCTTTGTGCTTTCTGTACAGGATTATTTACACCTCAACAAGATCCTCTGATGTTACTTTCAACTAGCAAACACAACATTCACTTTTACTTCATTCCCAGTCTGTTTCAATAACACCAGGAACACAGATGCCTGTATGTTACCTTGTCAGAAAAGTTTGGGTTTGCATGTGAGACTCTGCCTTACATGTTCTGGAATGATTATTACAGCAGAAGACAGCTTAAGATTCATATATTTCAATGATTGGGCACCTTTAAATTATTGTGGTCCCTATGATCCACGCCATCAGAGAGCTAATAGCATTTTCAAGTACCAAACATTACTATGAGTGGGACCAACTTCCCTTCCTATTGTCATAGCAGGGTGGAATAAACAGTTGCTGGATGAAACGTATCTGACAGACTGGTGACAGACGAGAGCAATTCTGCAGCACTATTGCTTTGCCAACAGTTTCAGATGTGCGTTTCATTCGTCTCCTCAAACTGAAGACCATCTACATAAGAAACAGAAATACTGAGTAGCTAACTTAAAATGCTTTTCTTAGAGCAACTTCCTTCCTAGTGTGAAGAATTTTTTTTCTTGAGGCAGAGATAAACACAAGTTTGTGTAACAGGATTTTGCTGGAAAATCAAGATAGTCAACACCTCCCTGATGCTTTTGGATAACAAAAATGGTACTTGCCTGTAGGTCTGTAAGAAGCTGGCAGCTACAGCGGTACACAAGCTTCCTTACCTACCCAGAAACATTATGTCCATCATTGTTCATGTATCAAACACCAATTATTCATCAGTCAGTTTTTTGGGTGTCTGGTGTGGGCAGACTGACAGAACTGTTATGAAATTCTGTGAAGATGCAAATTATTCATATTTCTGCTATCATGTGCTGGATGTTACTGAAGCCAGTTAAGTTTAACGACCACATTTGCCAAGCCAGACCTTAATGCTCCTATTATTTGCTCCTATATTCGCCTATTTCCACAGAAGGCCTAAGAATTAAGATACTATCTAATTCTACTTGTTTGGCTCAGTGACAGGTGATCTGAAGCAGCAGTTTACCAGTATACATGCATATTTATCTTGCCAACTCTATGGTGCTAAAATTTCCAGGGACCTTCATTCTTTCACCAAGGAAACAAAAGCACATTCCTAGTATACAAACAGCATGGACAGGAAGGTAAGAACATTCTTCCTCCGGTAACCTAAATTATCTCCTCTAGTGAAAGCTTACTTGGCCACAGCATTACATTAGGGCAGAGAAAGGGACTGTTAACTACTGCCCAAGCAGTGCAGAAAGTGAGTGAAGCACACCCGTGGGAACTGAAGAGCATATGGCAGGCAATGAATGGGTGGCTTGAGGCAGGCACAATTTACTACCTTAAGTAACACTTACGGCCCGTTTTCTGCACCACATTTCTTAACAGGAGAGCCCTGTTGAAATCTGAGACACAACACCAGCTCTTCATGGTGCTATGGACATACTTCAAGATAGCACTGAATTCCCACTGATTTTTCAACATAACTAAGATGCCCTCCAAACACACACACACACAAAAAAAGACACAAACTTGCCAATTTGAAAGAGATTGTCATTTACTTCTAATTATCATCTGCTCAATCTAGATATAACACATGGCCTTTGT